CTGAAAAAGAGGAAAATACTGGCGCAGGGAGCGCCGGCAGGTGGGCTAACCAAATTAGTTGTGAAAATCACGGCATGCTGCTCGGTGGAGCACTTGTTACCGCTGTCTCACACAGCTGTGCTTCTCCTCCGAGTCAGTCACGTATCCATGGGAACCCAACGAAGACGGGCCAATCTTAGGTCATCACATTCAGAGCTAGTTTTCATGCGAGGAATGTGTGTGTTTGGGTGTGAGGGGCTTGTATACGTGTGAGTATTATCGGGGCTCTTGACAGAAATGAACACTGGATTAAATTTGATTGCAGATCATTGCAGTCGTTTCAAAACCTCTGTTAGAAAACAGAGGCTGCACTTACGCAAATATCAGACAAGGGGGGAACATGCAAAGTCCACACTGAGAGGACCCTGGTCACCCGGCCAGGGAATCGAACCCAGGCCCTTCTTGCTGTGAAGCTGTAGTGTGAAATACAGTATAACCCGGCTGTTGGAAGAAAACCTCGTATTTCCATTTTTCAGTTTTTGACATAATTTGAAAATACCTATTGCCCTTTACATCATTTGTAAATTTCATTATGATTGGACAAAAACAAATGGCCAAAAATGACTTAGGAAAAAGTCTGGTTCCATTGACTTACATTAAAAGTTAAGTATGTTTTTTCCTTCTCCTGTAAAGTTACCATTTTGGAGATACAAGGTTTTCTTCCAACAACAGCAAAATGTATTTACATGCATTTAACCTTTTTTCAAAAATCAGGTACTGACCATTAAATTGTACAGTACTTTAACAGTGAAAGTCCTTTTTTACAGTGTTAACTAAGAAATTACAGCTGTAGATTTCTATTTCACAGAAATCATTAGGTTTTCTCTGAAGGGTTAGAAGACCTGAGGGTTCCTGTTTCTCTGCTAATTACCGGTTTTACCTTGAAAGTCCGAACCGAGAACTTTAGGAACTTTAGGAACCTTTATTTGTTTTTTTAGAGTGCACAAGGGTTTGTCAAGACAGAGATGTCCACAAATTAGCCTGGATCTTACCATAATAGTGGAACTCCAGTTATGATATCATATCTGATTTGCTTTTGTGTTGCTTTGCTTGAAAAAAATTGCATTCCAATCCAATTAATATCACTTTTGCTCATTATTGGTGTTTGGGATGTGAGGTTGACTGTACATTCAAGATCAAAAACCATTGGACAAAGCGCAGCGCTGTTATTCATCATAGCCTTTGTCTGATCTGCCGTCTCTGTCAAGAGCGCTGGTGCTTAGCGCTGTTAGAGTGGCAATTAATCACATTCCACTCTGCTCTAAACTGATACTGCATAAGATCCAGATGTCACAGCAGGTCAGCTGTGACTTCCTGCACCCGGACTCGGAGCTGTTACTGCCGAAGCTGATTGGGTTTCTGTGACATTTTACCCTCGCTGTGCCTGAAAGTGTGAATAACCATGTATAGATAGCAGCCAATGAGAGAGCGTGTCCGGTCTGATGAATCCAAAGGAAGAACAGGCCAGACCTGTGTTCCTACTGGATCCCTCAACACTGGCAGAAACATCTGCACTTTTGTTTCATTCCTCTTTTTCTTGCGAGAGAGAGCGAGAGCGAAAGAGCTCCCAGTGCTAAATCAGGACTCACGTGAGGTTATAACTCTATTCGGACCAGCTACTCCGGTGTTGAAGGAGATGTCGGTGATTGGTGTAGCACAGCAGGTAATTCGCCTTATTCAGTGCTGCCTGTTTGTCCTTGTTAGTTAAGTAACAGCCTTATTATTCAGTATGAACTATTTAGCAACTACACCCTTAAAAAGACAGTTCTTCAAGGGTTCTTTGGTTCTATATAGAACAATAAACACTCAAAGAACCCTTTGCATGATTAAAGCGTTCTTTGCATCGTGAAAGCGTTCTTCATATTGAGATTACTCCATATTCATATGGAGAATGTGGTGTAGATGGTTCTATGTACAACCTTTTTGAACAGGGTTCTGTATAGCACCCAGAAATGTTTGGCTATTCTTACAAGCTTGAGATTTCAACAACTGACTGTAGAACTGTTAATTATGCTGTTGTGAGAGTGAGGAACTGACCTGCTTTCGGACTGGCTGTCTTTTCAATCTACATCACTTTACTGAGAGCTTATAGGCTTTAAAGGGTTAAATCTGACCTCCTTGACTTGGGAGACCAGGAAATAAGGAACCATAAGAAAGAAAATAGCACTTGACTTGGATGTGTGTCTCCAGGAAAAACCCTGAGAAAGCTTTCTTTCACAGTCTTGTAAGGAGGGTTCGGTCAAGGCTATTTTGTAAGGCGATGCGAACTAGCTTTAGAGGGCAGGACTTTTACACACACACACACACACACATATATATATATATGTGTGTGTGTGTGTGTGTGTATGTATATAGATACAAGGTTTATACATACATATATATATATATATATACATACATAGCTGTTACTGCTGAAGCTATATTCAGTGTTGCCCATTTACCCTCTTTATGCAGCGTCTCCTAGTGGCCATTCGGCCAGTGGCATGGAAATTGACGCAGATATTTTTTTTAAATGTAATCAAATCAAATGTTTCCCCATTTTACTCTGTTGTCTCTCTGTGTGAATTGTTGTGACTGTGTGTTGAGCTGCTAGCGAGCAATGAGGGGTGAAAGGGGAGCGGTGAGACCCCCAATTCACACCTCTGCACAAAGACAGCCATGCCGAGATAAAACTCACATTTCGACTATTTTAAATATCATGAATGTCACATAAACACAGCCTAATGCAACAAGTCCTCAGGGGTCCCTGTTTCCTGTGAAGGGCGCATGCTGATGGGGGCTATTTAGGGAAAGATCACTGCAGATCTATGCATTACTGGTCCCCAGTCCTATTCACACCCGAGCAGTGTGAGTTTGAGCTGATCAATAACACCTGTAAGTCTCCACTGGTGACATTTGTAACTCGGTCGCTGCTTTCTCTAGGAAGAAAAGCTTGACCTTTCTGGATAAGACCGCTGATCTCAGACGTAGGTATTTACGCGAGCCTGTGTGGGCGGGAAAATTGTTTTAAAATGACTCTAATAACGGCTCCACTTCTGACGCTAAAAATACACAAGGCTCCATGGAGCGTAATTACTGTAATTATGGGACGAGGGTCCTTTACTAATTCAATTGCTGGTCTCCTGTAGATCTTTTGTGACCTTCTTCAATCTTCGGAACAGAAAGTTTGAGCTCATCTATGGTACCGCCTATAATTGTTGGCACCCCTGGTAAGGAGCAGCAAATAGAGGCTTTGAAATGTCTTCGTTGCGCATGACAATCTAACCTCTCAGGGAGGTAATCATTATTAATTAATCAAAGAAAAAAAACTGTTTGGCAACAATAACACTTTATCACAGCCTTTGCTGCTCAACTTTACTGAGGGTGCCAATAATTGGGCACGGCATGAGGAGCTTATAAACTGCAAGCTGCTGAAAGAAGTAATATGTGGTAGAATTGCTGGAACTGACACAAATCTATACATAGATCTGCATATATATATATATATATATGCAGTTAATTTCAGTATTTAGAGTGTTCCTTATTCCAGCTTCCATTCTTTTCAGGAGACTCACATTCAGTTCCTCAAAGAATCTGCAGACACACCTCCAAAGTTCAGTCTTAGAAGCTGGTTGATCATTTTCTGAAGTAATCAAACACATTCAGTGGTGTTGAGGTCTGGACTCTGGGGTGGTCAGTCCATCGTTCAGCTTCTTTGTTTGATGTGTCCGTCTCCTTTTCTCAGTGAGGTTCTTCTTGACAGCTACACATCCTTTCAGACCCACAGCGCTGAGTCGTCTTCTCACAGTGGAAGGATGGACAGAAACACCTGTGGATGTTTTCAGATCTGAAGCAGCTTGATTTTCTCCTCTCTCTCAGAGATGAAAGCTTTAAGTGCTGTTTATCTGATGGGGGCAGTTTTGAGGTCGACCAGCTCTTCCAGGTGGTTGTTAGGAGCCCCATTTTCTCTGTTAATCAGTTTTTGAACTTCACTTTTGGAAACTCCTGTTTTTTTCACATTGTCTTCCTGCTTCTTCATGCAAGTGGATTATCTTACATCTAATCTCCTCTGAAACACTTCCTGAACAATCAATAACTTGTATTTAAGAGCTGTTTTTGACTTAAATAAATAAAGGGTCTCTGACTTTTGCGCCGTACTCTCGCTCTCTCTATATACTTTATCAATCAATCAATCTGTCTATCCATCTACACAGACTATTCTACTGAATTAGTTCAGATCAAGTATTCAGACCTTCGATATTTACACGGATTCTGTTCTGATCTACTTAAACCGAGACATTAATAAAGATAGTACTAAGCTAAATATGTACAAAATCACCATTTATAGTGTGTTTCTACTGGGAGGTGTCTATTAGAGCTACAATGGCCGCAACTGTTATAGCACCACTGCTACATGTTAAGTAATAGTTCTAATAGTAATACATGGATTTACGTAATATTATTAAGACCTAATAAACAAAACTGACATATCGATGTTTCTATTTTATTTGGGATTCGTCATAGTTTATCATAACATAAACATAAATTATCAAAGCCTTTCATTTTAGTCTCAAATAGGACATTTGGTGTAGTAACAACACAATGGTAGAAGAATGTAAGGAGAACAATTATTTGACATAAATTATACATTGCATGAGAAACAGATTACAGTTGAAGCAGGAAGGGGGGAGGGGTGATGGGAGCAAGATGCCCCTTTCAGATTTTATTTACAGGCTGTACACGCTGACTCAAATTTAGTTCAGCTTCATAGAAAAATGGACGTTTTTCCCCATACTGGACGCAAATCTGGTCTTATTTCATATTGTATGTATGTAAGAAAAGAAAGAATTTCTCAGCTGTAGCACACACCAGCATGCTCACAATAGTATTGTTCTATTATATATTATATATATATTATACTTACCATAATTTTCATTTTTTAACAATCACACATCACAAGAAGAAGCAAAGCAGACACTTACTCAGTATCTGCCTCTGGGAATCTGTGAAGTTTCTTCCATTTCTAAACGGGTTCATAAACGGCCAGCACTGGTTATGAACTGCAAAAGAAGACACACTCATAAACATACATATTGTACACACACACACACACACACACACACATATATATATATACATATATATATATATATGTATATATATATATATATATATCTTGCTGCTGTTTGAACAAAATCTTGTATCTCCAAAATGATAACTTTACAAACTTTACATACTTTACTTTTAATGTAAGTCAATGGAACCAGAATTTTTTCCCAAGTTATTTCGGGCCGTTCCTTTTTGTCCAATCATCATGAAATGTATAAACAATGTAAACGGCAACAGGTATTTTCAAATTATGTCAAAAACTGAAAAACAACAAAAATCGACATACAAGGTTTTGTTCTGACAGCAGCGACATACACACACACGCACACACACACACACACACACATATGTACACATGACTTACGGTTGCAAGTCCTCCACAGTCCTGAATGTGAGCTCAGTGACACAGAGGAGTTGCTCTCCCTCTTCGAGGTGTCAATGATGTACCAAAAATCAGTTCCGATGGCAAGAACCAGGCAAACAAAGCTGAGGACCCCAAAAGAGGCCACAAAGACAGCCAGACTGCTTAAAGTCAGCTTCATCCTGGGCGCAGAAGTGTCTTCCAGCGTGCTTCTAGACGGAGTTGTGCTCAGCAGTGAGTGCTGGCTTGGCTGTGTGCCTGTTTGACTGGTGAGGGATTTTTTGCAATGCAATGTGCTCATAGTAACAGCAGGGGGCAGTGTGCACTTCTCTCTGTCCTGTACGAATAATAGTCTCTCTCTCTCTCTCTCTCTCTCTCTCTCTCTCTCTCTCTCTCTCTCTCTCTCTCTCGCTCGCTCTCTCTCTCTCTCTCTCTACCTTGCCCCACCCCCCACAGCCTACCACCACATCCTACACATTTCAAAAAGATGGTTCTCTGAGGGTAAAGGTGGTTCTTTAGTAAAGGCAATGGTTCTATTTAGAACCATGAGATCTATATAGAACCAATTTGATGCTTAAATGGTTCTTTGCATGGTGAAATGGTTCCTCAGATCGAAGAAGAATGTGTTGTACATGGTTCTATACGGAACCTTTTTGAAGATGGTTCTATGTAGCACTAAAAATGATTCTGCTGTTGCTACAAGCTTGACATCATAAAAATAGCAGAACCCTTTTTGGTGCTATATAGAACCATTTATAACACACTTTCCAATCTGAAGAACCGTTTCACCATGCAAAGAACCATTTAAGCATGAAATGGTTCTATATAGAACTCATGGTTCTAAGTAAAACCCTCAAAGAACCATCTTTTTTTTGAAGTGTGTAACGTTGGCTCTCTATTTAACAGATAGGGCTCTTTTTGGCCGGAGATGTGTCACACTGAGCAAATTGGGCCTTCATTCTCTCTCTCTCTCTCTCTCTCTCTCTCTCTCTCTCTCCCTCTCGCCCTCCCTCTCTCTCTCTCTCTCTCTCTCTCTCCTCTCCCCCCCCCTCTCTATCTCTCTCCCTTCCTCTATTTTCTCTCCTTTATGAATTGTGCTGACAATCCTTCTATTTTAATTAATATTCAGAGATGGCCAGTGTCACAGACTGGACTTAAAGGGGAGCTCCACTATTTTTTCAAACAATTCTACATAATTAAATGGTCAAGATGTAAACAGAGTCATTCAGAGTGGTTTGGTGTGAAACGCTCCGTTCTAGAGAAACTATCCAAGTCAGAACTGTTCACAGTGGCGGTGATAGGAACCAGACGTCCACCTCTAAAAGCTCCCTCACAGAAAGTTACTACATGGAATATATATTACAATGTGAATGCACTGCCTGATGTCTGAGACACTGTTTTACAACAGTTTTGTGATAAAGTTTTGGCCTAAAATGAATTTTAATCCATTTATTTTAATACAGTCAGTATGGAGGAATACATGCAAAGTGTTATGAGGCAAAATAGTCCTCAAAGAAAAGTAATTTTTCACTCTTTTATCATTATCATCAATACGTATAAAAGCTCAGAAGACTCGTGTAGGTTCACTGGTGGTTTTGATAGTAAATAGAATGTCTATATTTGTGTTGTAGTCATGGCGACCCCTGGTTCCTATCACCACCACTGTAAAGACATCTGAACCAAACCACTCTGAATGACTTAGTGCAAAAATTGTGAAAAATTGGTGGAGTTCCCCTTTTAATGCTTTTCTTTGAATAAGGATATACGCCCAGCAATGCAAACCCACCAGCCAAAGAGTCAGATATGGAATATTTCCTTATTTATTAATCTACAAAAAAGCCGCGATGGGCAGTTTACCGATCTAGAGTAAGGACAGGTGCGGAACCATTCAACTGAGCACCATGACAAGCACGGTCATGTTTTAGTGTGGCATCCGAGGGGTGGCTACGCTAGGTCAGTTTTTAAGCGTCTCACCGAACTTTCGAGGCGATTTTAAGGTACAGAATGAAGATAAAAACATGAAAAGAGGGCTGTGTTCGACCGTCCTGTTGTTCAGCATGTAAACAGAAGCCAAAGTAAACGGTGTCGAGCTGTTTTCACGAGGCTAAAGTTTCTTATTCGCCAGCTTCTTGTTTGAGTGTTGCCGTTCCACCTTAAATGGTGCAGCAGGTGTGTTCAGGCGCCTGGGACGTTATTAAAGTTGCTGCTGCACCATTTAAGGTGGAACGGGAATATTCGAACAAGAAACTGGCGCAAAAGAATCTGACTTCGAGCTATTTTTCCGATAAAGAAGGACAAATCCAGTTAGCTTCACTGTCAGAGTACTGAGGTCTGTGTATATTCAGACGACGACATTAACATAAACGAGTTCAGGTAAAAGTGTCGATATTTCAACTAGTAAACAGCGATTGCGCAGCATAATCAAGTCCCAGGTGGTTGCTAGAGTGTTTCCCTGGACTTAGTACACACTTAAAGATGGTTCTGTCAGAAAATGGTGCTGTATGGAACCTTGAGCTCTCAAAAAACCTTTTACATGATTGAAGAGTTCTTCAGACTGATGGAAAATGTGTTGAAGATTCATCCTGGGTTCTGTATAAAACCTTTTTGAAAAGGGTTTATATAGCAAAAAAAGGGTTATTCTGTTGTTACAATACGAGCTTGTAACAATAGCAGAACCCTCTTCAAAAAGGTTCTTTATAGAACCATCTACAACACATTCGCCGTCAATCTGAAGAACCTTTTCCCAATGCAAAGAACCTTTTAATCATGCAAAGGGTCGTGGTTCTATACAGAACCATTTTATTTACTAAATGACCCTTCAAGAACCGTCTTTTTTAAGTGTGTATTGTATTTAAGCTACTTGCTATGGTGTCCCAGGAGCTGTGGTATCCCAGGTGATTGCTAAAGTGTTGCTAGGTGGTTGCTATGGTACCCCATATGGTTAATAGGGTGGTGTTAATGGACTTGGAGCATCATGATAGAAGCCTATTGCGGAAAAAATCGTAATTGAATGATGATTGTACGAAAATTGTAGGTCAGATCAAAAAGCTGTATGCAAGCACACCATTCCTGATCAGACAGAACATTCCAGAGTTGGAACTGGTGTCAATATCATGAAAACTGCGGGAGGAGTTAGAGAACAAAAATCCAACAGAAGACAAAGAGGAATATAAATTGGGTAACGATACTGATATAATGACTCAAGTAGAAGGAAAAGTAGCTACAAAAAGAGCGAAAAATAGTATCAGGACAAAGAATTCCTCTATCAGGGAAGAGAAAATGCACTGATAATAATAGCAGCACCAATAGTGTTGATACTGTTAAAGGCAAATTCCACCAATTTTTAAAAATTCCTGCAGTTTCATTGTTAATATATAAACATAAGTCATTCAAATCGGTTTGATGTGAGATGGTTCATTGGTGAGAAACATACAAACTCCAATGTCTTTACAGTGGTGGTGATAGGAACCAGGGGTCGCCATGACTACAACACAGATATAGCCATTTTATTTACTATCCACCAGTGAACCTACACGAGTCTTCTGAGCTTTTATATGGAATGTTGATGAGGGGAAAATAGTAGTAAATCTGAAATAATGTTTTCCTTTGGTACTATTTTGCATTACAATGCCTTGCATCTACCCCTCTAACATCAGTGGATGAAAAATGTTTCAAAACCTTCTCAGAACTATTAGAAAACGAAAGGTAGGCAGTGAATTCATAACCATTTAATGTAATAACTTTCTGTGAGGGAGCTTTTAGAGGTGGACGTCTGGTTCCTATCACCACCACTGTGAACAGTTCTGACTCTTGCTTTAAAACAGAGCTTTTCACATCAGACCTCTTTGAATGACTCTGTTTACATCTTAACCATATATTTATCCTGAAATTTAAAAAATCAGTGGAATTCCCCTTTGAAAGTCTTTTTGCTCATGCTGAAAGTGAAAGCCTAAAGTGGATAAATTGCCTGATTAGCCGTCTTACTTGCTCTGTATGTTTACTTAGAAGTTTACTCAGTACTTAGAACACAGGTTATACTGCAGAATCAGTACACTCACACAAACATCTACGCTCTTAAAAAGATGGTTCTTCAAGGGTTCTTTAGTAAAGACAATGGATCTGTATAGAATCATGAACACTCAAATAACCTTTTGCATGATTAAAGGGTTCTTTGCATTGTGAAATGGTTCTTCAGATAGATGGAGAATGTGTTGATGGTTCTATACAGAGCCTTTTTGAAAAGGGTTCTTCTATAGTTATGATGTCAAGCTTGTTACAATAGACGAACCCTTTTTGGTGCTATATAGAACTATCTTCAGTGCATTCTCCATCAATCTGAAGAACCCTTTCACCATGCAAAGAACCCTTTATTATGCTTCTATATAGAACCATTTTCTTTACTAAAGAACCCTTGAAAAAGTGCGTATGGTTAAACAGAATTATGTGTGGAGTCAACCAAAGATAAGCGTTTTTCACCAGAGTGAAAACGTAAGCAAAAGAAACACTCATTCTGCCAGCAAGCATGCTAAAAATATTATAATATTATAATTAGCTAGCGTTACATAACTAACAAATAAACAAACATTACTCAGCGCTGTCGTCTGAAAACGTTACAGCGACTATTTTTTATTTTCATAACCCCCTTGATGTCTCAGTAAAGGCATTTACTGCTTTCTTTTATTTCATTTTCCTGAACCCAACACACAAAGTTCACATTCAGCTTGTTGTTGCAGTTTAATATGACTGTGAAATGTGGAAAATGACTGCAGTCTGCTTAAATAATTGCAGTCAGCTTAAACAGTTAGGTGATTGTGTAACAGTTTTAGCAGGCCTACTATGCATTTGTGACCCATTTCTGACCCATAGGCGTTTATCTGTACTGTATGAAATAGATAACTTGTACAGGGAGATTCACTTGAAAGAGGCCCCGAATATTCTGTAATAACTCTCTCTAGGATGAAGCAATCCGAACGAAACAACATGCAATGTGCTCCTCAGTATGTGGAGCTGGGAACAAGCTGGAACGCACCTTCGTCGGAGCGATGTGGTAGGCGCCGGACAGCCGTCACAATGTTTAACCTACGTTTGCAAATTCTGGGGGTGTACCCCCATACCCCTTCACTCTGTCACTTGACTGTACTTGGTGTACAGTATTGACCAGCGCGTCTTCATGGTGCGAAGCTATTGAGTCACCAGTTCGTTTAAGCGATGTCAGAGTGAATTCAGGAAGAAATATGGTGTTTGTGACGTACCCTCAAAGAGTGTTGTTCAGAAGATGGCACAGAAACTGGAAACGACAGGATCATTGATCCCTTCTCATGGCGGAGGCCGTCCGAAAACGTAATCGATTACCCATACGTCAATATGTGTAGCGTATTTTTGGGTTCAGGTTGCTTCATCCTAATGGGAGTAACAACAGAATATACGGGGCCTGTTTCGAGTGAATCTCCCGGTACTTTATGGCTGTTTTGGCTGGAAATGAATTTAATCAATAGTGCTGCACAGTACGGAGGGTTTGCTGTAACAGCGGCAGTATGTATACGAGTATCTTCTTCCATTATCAGCAGTAATCTTATTATATAGTTACAGTTGACATATACACAGATCGGGCATAACATCATGACCACCTCCTTGTTTCTACGCTCATTGTCCATTTTATCAGCTCCACTTACTATATAGGTGCACTTTGTAGTTCTACAGTTACAGACTGTAGTCCATCTGTTTCTCTGATACTTTGTTAGCCCCCTTTTACCCTGTTCTTCAGTGGTCAGGACCCCCATGGACCCTCACAGAGCAGGTACTATTTGGGTGGTGGATCATTCTCAGCACTGCAGTGACACTGACGTGGTGGTGGTGGGTCATAATGTTATGCCTGATCGGTCTACACGTGTTGGTTAGAAGCCAAATTGTTACTATTTTTTTTCGGCCCCAGGAGCAGTGTGCTGGAGAGGACATGCAGGGGTGGCCATGGACCAGGTCACCTTCCGGAGTGACACTGTGCTCTCAGATGTGCACCTTTTGCTGCCGAATGCTCGTCATCTCATGGCTCGGCTCAATAGCGTAGGACAGCCAGGTGAGGTGGGGTCTGATCACAGTGACTGTTGTAAATGCTGCAGGGTTTTTAAAGCTCTTTTTTGTCCTGATATGAAAATGTCGTGCAGGGTTGAAGGAAGCGATTGCGAGATTGTGAGGGATTGAGTTGGGTTGCAAGAGTGTGCCTTCAGATGTAACTGAATACTGTTGCCAAAATTACATAATAAGGTCACATTTGCGTTCTAAAATATGCACATAAGAATTTATATGCTGCTTGATTTATCGGTAGTATTAGGCATGCAAATTATTTTGACTGAAAACTGACCAGCAAGGACGGAACACATCTAAATATCAATTACAAAACTGATAGTTCCCAATTAAGTGGCTCCTGATTGCATAATATTTTTAATAGTCCTTTAATGTTTAGATGCTCTTGAGCTTCGTGTAAACAGCTTAATTGTATCATTAAGTCAGTAACAGGCACTGTCCTGTCTAATAACCCTTGGACATCCTTGGTGTTTAATTGTAAGCCCCCCGGCTCCCCTCACATTGTATTGCTGCCGTGGAAATGAGTGTTTGAAAGCTGCTTGTTGTCCTGTATGTCTCACCAGAGCTTTAGCCTACTTAAAAGAATCTGGGCTCAATTTTGTGTCCTGTTTAGCTCATAAGGGAACCGTTCACACAGATGAAGCCCACACATTCCACCGGAGTATTCAAGTAACGTCTTCGTCATATCACACAAACGCATTGTTATATAGACGTTGAGGCTATAAGCCGAATCACAATCGGCTCCCAGATAATGACTTTTGCCACCCACAGTCTTGCAGTCTGCTTTGTTTTGCTCTGTGGATCCGGTCTCAAACCACAGCCCTGCCCAGCATTTTCCTCTTTGTTTTTTCCACAAACCAGTCGGCACTTTCGGATGAACTGTGGCAGTGGGATGGTAACGGAAATTACTGTCATACTGTTATAGCAGTACTCTTCAGAGAAATCCAAAAGAGCCACAGCTGGCTGATTCAGTGAATTTAGAGGAGTTTCCTCAGCAAACTGTCCTCCAACTAGAGCTGAGCAATATGACAAAAATATTATCATATGACAAAATGTTATCAATGTTATTATACTTCACGATGCACAATGTGTCAGACAAAATATTAGTCACCTGTGACTGAAATGTACCTAATAGCTTGTAATACTTCCACAAGCATGAATAACAGCTGCGATTTGATTTGGCCTGGACTGGACAAGTTTCTGGATGTAGGCGACATCAATGCTCAGCCACTCTTGCATCGAAGAATTGCGGTCAGATTTTATGGATGCTTCCCTGGCGTCTCACTCGTTGTTCCGGGTAGTCCCACAGATTTTCAGGAGGCTTTCTGAGGTCCATGATGAACACGATCTCAAGCATCATTCACACACAGGCAGAAATGAGATTCATCTGACCAGATAACACGTTTCCAGTCATGAACAGTCCGATTTTGTGTCTCTTTGCCCACAGTAAACGGGCAACTTTATGAACAGATATGAGCTCTGCTCCATGTGTTCATGGTATGCGGTTCCCTGCGAAGTGTTCTTTCAGAAATTGGCTGCGAAGGACCTGCTTTGACTTCTAGAAGCAATTTTTGCCTGGAAGTGAAGTGATTTTTATTCACGGCGGTCCCTGTTCATCAGTTTCGTCTTTTGGCCGCAATTCTGGTGAGAATTTCCTGTAGATGGGGATTTTTGCCACTGCTGGTCGACCCGTATGACCGTACGCTTCTATACACCTGCAAATTCAGCTACTTCCTTCACACTGTGGCATTTGGCGCCCAAATACAATCAGTCCTTATTGCCAGTCATTAAGATCTGATTTGTCACTCACTGTACCACGTTTTCTCAATCTATGAATCCTGTTGCATCAACCAACTTCTAAGACTGAACTTTGGAGGTGTGTCTACAGATTTCTTTGAGAAACTGAAAGTGAGTCTCCTGAAAAGACTGAAAGCTGAAATAAAGGTAAAGTGTGGCACAATCAACAATCTGATAGTAGATTTAGTTGTTGAGGCTTCTGTGTCATTTTCTGTTAAGTATGTTTTTGCTGACACTAACAATGAAGAACTTACACTTAATGGCCGTTTTGACTGGAAATTTAATATATGAAGGGTGGTTTCCAACCTTTGCGTAGCGTTGTATTGGTAATCAAATATCAACGCTAAAAATGGACAATAATGAAGTTGTATGCCTTATTCTGATTCTGGTTTCTTTACCAGCCAAACTGGCTGGTGGCCAAATGTTTTATTAGCCTTTTTTTTTTTGGCCCGATTTTAGTTAATTTAAAAAAAGGCTGTTTTTGTAGCTTAGACCCAGTCCCGTTTCACTACTTGCCCCTACCACTTAGCCCTACCCCTCCATTTTGCATGTTGGGGGTAGGGTGTCCTGATTCTTGTTGAGATAGAGGGGAAGGGTTAAGTGTTGGGGCTACATGACCCTCCAAACGGAGGTTTTTCAGGGACTCCAAACAGAGTTATGAGAAAAAAAGAAAAACCGGCAAGATGGCTGAACAAGAGACCAAAGAAACCCACAAATGTGAGAATTTTCACCATTAAAAAATTACAGTAACCACTGTTTTATCTTAGTTTAATGTCGTTTCAGTGTATTATGGTCCTTTTCTTCATAACAAGCATAAAAAATCTCTAGTATTATGCTGTTGTTTTCGGTAGTTAGCTATCTAAGTTTAAGTTCCACCTTAAATGATGCAGCAGTTCTGACGCCTGAGGTGCCAGAATGTAACTGCTGCTCCATTAAAGGTGGAACGTGAAATTTAGCTAGCTAGCTACCGAGACATCAGCTACTACTAGCGATTTTTTTATGCTTGTTATAAAGAAAAGGACCATAACAAGAAGCTGGAGAATATCTGACTTCAGCTTCACATCACTGAAGAATTAGTGGTGGGTGATAATAAATAATTGCCCCCCTCTTTGAAGGCATGTGATGCCCTAAATGTAACTAAAGCCCAGCAGTGAGGAGCTGAACTTTACCCTCCTCTGCTGTCACTGCAGACTGGCAGGGTCGCCTACAGAGCAGCGCTGGTAGCTGTTAATGAAGTAATGCTCAGTTCCAAGGGGCAAGGTGACACTCGAAAACAAAGGGAAGGGGTAAAAAGAAGAAATATGATTGGGCCATATATGGTCCGGGGAGTGAACGCTATATTTTGCAACTTTAACAATAATTACATGCTACATCGAATTCTTTTATTAAAAAAAAGAGGACAGTTTGTTTTTCTATGATATGGCTGTTTGATTTATTCATTTATTAATTTGTTATGTATTCAATCGTCATGCAAACCGCCAGTTAGTATTGAGAAGATGAGTTTTAGTGGATGAATGGTGGCAGCGCTGTGTGGGTATCACTGTACTGCTTCCTGTAGAGCGTGTTATGCCGTTAGTAACACTTTCCCGCATTTACCTTACTAATTCCACCCGTCGTTATTCTCGAACCTTAGTGGGGAAGGCAAACCCCTGAGGTTTATACCAGCACTCCTGCATAGACTGTGGCCCATTATATCTTCGTCAAACCAGCCTGCTTCAAAATTGAGCAGGAACTGCCATCAGCACGAGCTGATTTCAGAACAAGAGGAGGCAGCTTTCACCAGACACGTTTTCCCTGCAGATGAAGTGACCCCTAGAGTGGTGGAGCGACACTGAATCGGTCAGTTCTTCTCTGCATATTCCGTGAAAGGAGTTATCTGCGTGAAGGTGTTGGAGAGCACGCCTTTCTGCACGCGCCTCTATTTCTCCGCCGCTCTTTTGAGAGTGCTTCAGTTAATAGAGTGATATTTTGCAGAATTGCAGTGGCCTCAGTGATGGCATGAATTCCATAATGGAGAGGTTGCCATGTAATTAGATGAAGCTATACATAATGACCCTGCATCTCACCTTCATCTCAAGGGGATGTTCCTTACATGAACCCCAGCCTGAAAGGGTAATAATAGTCTGCTTTTATCCTGAGATAAAAGGCATTGTTACTGCTATAGTTGCGAAATAATGACTGCAGGAAAATTAAAAGTACTGTTCAAAAAAGAACCAAGCTTATTTTTACCCTGCCCCTTGTTTTGGAGTGTCGTCTTGACCCTTGGAACAGAGTTACAAGGGGTAGTGGTTGAGATTTTCACAAGAACATTACTTCATTAACTGCTACTTGTGCTGCTCTGTAGGCGACCCTGCCTGATTTTCCTGTTCCACCTTAAATGGAGCTGCAGTTACATTCTGGAGCTTCAGGCACCAGAACTGCTGGACTGTTTAAGGTGGATCAGGAAATTTAGCTAGCTAGCTGCCGAGACATCAGCCTAGTACTAGCGATTTTTCATGCTTGTTATGAAGAAAAGGACCACAAAACATTGAATCGACATTAATCTAAGATAATTTAATGATCAGCATAGTTTTAACAGAGAAAATTCTCACATTTGTGGGTTTCTTTGGTCTCTTGTTCAACCGTCTTGCCGGATTTCTTTTTCCTCATATCACTCTGTTTGGAGTCAGTCTCTAAAAAACCTCTGCTTGGAGGGCCATATAGCTCTACCACTTCGCCCTGCCCCTCTATCTCAACTAGAATCGGGACACCCCACCCCTAGACGTGAACACACAAAACGGAGGGGTAAGGGCTAAGTGGTAGGGGCAAGGGGTTAAACGGGATTGGGCCTAAGTTGAACAGTGCTTTACCAATAGGTGTTACTGTCATATTCACCAATAACATCATAACATTATGACCACCTCCTTGTTTCTACGCTCATTGTCCATTTTATCAGCTCCACTTACTATATAGGTGCACTTTGTAGTTCTACAGTTACAGACTGTAGTCCATCTGTTTCTCTGCATACTTTGTTAGCCCCCTTTTACCCTGTTCTTCAGTGGTCAGGACCCCCATGGACCCTCACAGAGCAGGTACTGTTTGGGTGGTGGACCATTCTCAGCACTGATGTGGTGGTGGTGTGTTAGTGTGTGTTGCGCTGGTGCGAGTGGATCGGACACAGCAGTACTGCTGGAGTTTTTACACACTGTGTCCACTCACTGTCCACTCTATTAGACACTCCTACCTCGTCAGTCCACCTTGTAGATGTGAAGTCAGAGACGATAGCTCATCTGCTGCTGCACAGTTTGTGTTGGTCATCCTCTAGTCCTTCATCAGTGGTCACAGGATGCTGCCCACAGGACGCTGCTGGCTGGATATTTTTGTTTCTCAGTCCAGCAGCGACACTGAGGTGTTTAAAAACTCCAGCAGCACTAGTTTTTTTTTGACCTGTGTTACTGATATAAAAAGTGCATTGACTAGAGGAATTTGGGGTTTAGGAGGTTTCCCCAGATGTGTGTTCGTTACGAGATTGCACTGTAAAAATATCTTAGTAAGTGAACACATCTGGAAAATAGACAGTATATCTAATATTTCTCATGATGACATTGTTGTAAGAATGTAATAAGATTATTGTATGTATTTCTATACATACTTATTCCATTGGCAGATCATCTTACTTGTTTTAATTATTATTTCTTGAAATCAGCAAAATTACCTTAATTATTTATTAAAATAAATAAAACAGTCTGCCCATGGAATAAGACTGTCACTAGATAAAGTTACTTAAAACAAGAAAAAAATTATAGAAATAGATTAAATAATATCATAATATTCTTACAACCGTCTCACAACGAGAAATATTAGATACATCGACTAGATTTAAGGTGTTTTCACTCACTAAGATACCATGTTTTTGCAGTGTATGGCGCTGTGTAGAATTAAAATGCTGAAGCTCTGACCAATCACAAAGCAGGAAGAAGCAATTAGTAAATGTGTAAAATGTGAGTAAAAACTAGATTGTACTTAAGTAGATGTAAAAGTGATACTTCAGAATTCTCAGGAAAGTACAGATCCATCAAAATTATGCTTTGAGTAAATATAACTGCATAAATGCAGCTACTGTCGCAAGCAAAAGTTTGGGCGCCCTTGGTTAAATGACATGTTTTGTTGATTTTGTAATTGACGTAATAAAAATAAGTTAACACATCATCAATAGAGAGCATGCATACTGATGTGTTTATTTGCTGAAATTAATACAATGAAAAAATAAAACATAAAATTTCGCCTATGTGAAAGTTTTTGTACATTTTTAAAAATTATTCTAATGTTAAATTCAGTTGGAAGAAATCCTTGTATCCTCATTTTTGTCATTTTGCAGTTTTTTTACCTAATTTGAAAGTACCTATTGCCCTTTACATTGTGTGTAAATTTCATGAAGAATGGACCAAAAGAAACGGCCCAAAATTACTTGGAAAAAAGTCTGGTTCCATTGACTTACATTGAAAGTAAAGAAGGTTTTCCCCTTTTCCTGTGAAGTTATAATTTTGGAGATTTTGGAGGTTTTGGAGATTTTCTTCCAACAACAGCAAAATAGAGCATTTAAATTGTACAAGAAAGTGCCATGTTTAAATGTGTTCTCTGTAGAGAAATGTCAACTCCAAATCATCCAAAACTTTAATAAGGCTGTTGAAACTCCTTCGTACGACTGTCTTTACTGCTGACTTCTATTTTTATCAATTCAAAGGGGGCTGCTTTCGTCTTGCTGACGCCACACAGCCCCAGACTCTTTAATGAAATCGTAAGTCACTGTAAGTCTCGCAGTGTCTGCTCCTCTATAACACACTCTAGCTGTCATACAGTGTCTTCCATCAGTGTAATTAACTTATGAATCTCCTGACGCTCCTTCTCTCCGGCCCTGTCGACTGGCTCCTGCGCACGAGTCGTTTATAGCCAGAGAAAAAACCTTCAGTAATGTGATGCCTTCTTATTAAAGGGAAGCCAGTGAGCCTGGTTTTCACCTCCGGCTGTAACGATTACTTGATTTAAAAAAATAATAGATTAAAATTGACCTTCTTGATGAATCCGTAGTGATTATTTGGCATATTTTAATTCTCCTCTTGCCCTCTCTTACAGTAAGAAGTAGTCTGAGGGATGTGCCTATTTATATTTTTGAAGCTTCCTTGGTTAAAATTAATAATCGCAATTTATTAATTATCGCTATTATTCATTTATATGTTTATTTGCTCAAATTTTACCCTAAAGAAAGATTTTTTCATTTAAAAACCTGCATATTCTGATAAAATAAGCTAATTAATTTCTATAAACAGTGTTAAGTTGTTTTTACTGTGTGAAAGTTCACAAGAATCTGAACATGAAAACCACATTAATGCAGCCTGAACATGAAAATAAGAATACGGTTTTTACAAAATTACTGATGTTGCTGCATCATCATTGTGACTGAGCTTAAATAACTCCTATAATGTAATAAAAAAAAATAAAATGACTCTCAAATTGTAAATAGAAAAGCAGTAAATGCATTAATTGCAACATCATGGAGGCATGAAAACAAGCAAATTAGGAGGTCTAACTTGCGGTCTAATGTTTAGGGCAGCATGAGTAATGTTTGTTCATTCGTTAGTTACACTGTCAGGAAAAATAAGCTTCTGTGCAGAAACGTCTTTCGTTCCTCAAGGTACAAACAATGTAAATGTTCCCTCAAAGGTACAACAGTGGATTTAAGATCCAACTGTGAACCTTCAATACGGTTTTGCATTTCTTTGTCCAGTCTTTGTGTCGAAGTTCAGGATTCTGCGGGAGAGGGAGCAGGTGGAGGTTCAGGAGTCTGTAAAAAGTGACCCAGAAGTGTTGCTGGACGATGACGGAGACCTAGATGTGACGAGGAAGCCCACGCGCACAGTGAGTGACCGAGAAAAGATTCATCCGGTCATCCTCAGCCAAGCCGGAGGGGCTGTTAGTGATGAAGAGGACGATGAGGCAGAAGAAGAAGAGTGTGCGAAGGACATCATCAGGATTGGTAAGAGGTTCTGTTGTGAAGTGTTTCTTTATTTGTGACTAAGTTCAGTGCTGTATAATGTTTATTAGCTTTAGAGGCAGATATATGAATTAATGCTGCTGTCTCAGTGTTTGGAATCACTGTTTTTAATCATATAAAACTACTTAGTTGAAGAAATGTGTGTAAAATGTTTTTATTATGCTGCTACTAATCTATAGCTTTAGAAGATTCAACTAGTTAGCTGTAAAAAGAAATGAAGAAATTTATCTAGAGTGATGAACAGAGATGTAGACTGTAAAACACTAAGAATAAATGTGTTTGTGTGTATATACATACATATCGCTGTACATATCGCTGCTGTCGGAACAAACCATGTGTCACTTTTTTTGTTGTTGACATAATTAAAAAATGCCTGTTGCTCTTTACATTGTGTATAAATTTTATGATGAATGGACCAAAAGAAACAGCCCAGAGTTACTTGGAAACTATTCTGGTTCCATTGACTTACATTAAAAGTAAAGTAGGTTTTTTCCTTTTCCTGTAAAGTTACCATTTTGGAGATGTTTTGTTCCGTACAGCAGCAATATATATATACACACACACATAAATATATATGTGTGTATGAGGTGGGGTATGCTTATATTTTGTTTTCCTTTGTATTCTAATTTAATACAGTTTTTATAACAAATTACATTATCTGTATAGCAATTTTACCAAATTTGAACATGAATTTCAAAATTTCTTAATATTTGGTACAGTATGTCTCTCTTTTGCTTTAATGTCAGTGAGCACTCGAGCTGCAAACTGGACAGGTTTGTCTAAAGGTCTCTGATGTGCAGATCAGATCCACCTGAGAGTCGTCTGAACACAAGTTTTAATGGAACGAATAAGACTACAAAAAGTCTGAATAGTGACCTAAAAATGGTGCAGAATCTTGACTGTATCTCTAATCGTACTTGTCATGCCTTCTCTTTTTTGGTATATGTACACACACACACACACACACACACACACACACCAAAATGCAATGGCTGCAGTAGGCACTTGAGTTAAATTACAATTAAAAAGCTGTTTATCTGGGCACCATGTAGTTATTTGTTCAGAAAAACACTAATATTAGAGTAAACAGAATTAATAATAATAATAAAGTATTTTTTATATATTTTAGTATGTTCACTTAACCATTTCCAAGCCTCTCCTTAAGGAAGCCTAGTAGTGCTTGTAGTTACCTTGCAGTAACTGGTTTGGCTGATCAGTACTTCATTATGTTAAATCAGGAGTGCTGCTGATGGAATTTAATAAATCTGTGTGATGTTTGGAGGCGTCCAGGAGAAATCTGGAACCACACTTTGTTCTTCAAACTAGCTCACGACACATCAACTACTTTTTTCAAAAGAAGAAATTTGTTACTTTTTACTGTATTTATTTGCATCTAATGATGTGTTGTTTTTAGCTGATTGCTTAAAGGAGCTGTTAGATTTCTTTTTACACAGTAAAAAGTGCACTTTCAGCAAATCCAGTCAGAGGCACACTGTTTTAATAGTAATTTAGCACTTTTTATATCATTATCGTCCAACAGCTTTATTGAACATTGTATTTTGTGTCCATGTTGTGCAGCCTTATTTTATTTTATTGAAATAAGTGATGTTTGTATGTATCACATGTTTAAATGGTAGTGCATGTCGAGCTGGTTAGATTAGATCCAGTCCTGTAAGAGTAATTTAGTTCCTGTCGTTATTGTGTCTCCGTAAATCCTGCAGGGCTGGTTTCCCAGAAACAAATTAGGCTAGTTTTGAATTAAATCAAACTCCTCTTGGCTGTTTCTCCACTGAAAATCTTATTTAGTCTAGAACTGGGCTCCTCTGTGGCTCACAGGGTTTGCTGGATACAGAGTATTCATCATTTCGGATGCTGACCACTTCATTGCTTTCCACAGAGCACACGATGGCCACGCCGCTGGAGGACGTTGGAAAGCAAGTGAGTGCACACGTGTCCATTAAGTTGTGGTGTAACGATCCATCCTGCTCTATTTTGTGAAGTAACTTGGGCTCTGCTCGGCAGATCTGGCGCGGAGCTTTCCTGATGTCTGATTTCATCCTCTCACATCCGGCTGTTTTCCGAGAAGCAACAGTCCTCGAGCTGGGAGCAGGAACCGGCCTAACCAGCATCATCATGGCAGGTGTCGCCAAAACGGTGTACTGCACAGGTATGTGTTTAGGGGCAGTTCTGGATCATTCAATGGGTCAAATGGGCCCAAATCCAAAGGGCCCAAACTGCTAGGGGTTCCCTGCGGGCTATTATGAGAAAACCTAAGCAGCTGTTTTGACTCACAGCGGTAACTTTCCTAGCATTTAAGATGTCATTGTGTTATGGCTGATCATAATACTGATGCTCTCCACGTCTTTCCTGAGCCGCTTCATTTTCTCCTTCAATCACTGTTTAATCACCGTTACACTTTCCATCATTACCTCAGGCTTTTTTAGCAGTGATCTAGTGTTGCTGTGAATGTACTTTGAATTCAAAGAGCCTGATATTTAAGAGATGTGTGGGGGGATCTGTAAAGACCTGATACATCAACAGAGTAGAGGATGCCCATTTCCCAAAGTCAGATCTAAAATGTCACCCAAGAAAAAAGTTGTTGCATCCTTGTTGGCAGTGATCTGCGAACTGTCATCAGAGGTAAGATATAAATGAAACAGAATTGTTTTGCTGCTTTTTCCGTCATTATGTACATTTCAGTTTTCCAGTTTTTTTTAGAGGGGAGGGATTTTTCCCCCGTTTTCTTCCCAGTTTGGTCGTATTCCACCCACTAGTTAGGACTCCCCCAAATCACATGATGCCACCAGCGCGAAGGCTAGCACAGGCTTATTCTGAGACCTGTGATGCGCCACCGCATCTTTTCAATTTGTCGCTCACATGCTCGGAGGAAAGCGCCAACCGCCAGATCTGTTACGTCAGCTAAACAGAACAGCCTGCGCTGACTAGCATCGCTCTGAGTGATGTGGGGAGATGGGGCGCCATCCTACCCACCCAGAGAGAGCAAGGCCAATTGTGCTCTCTTGGACTGCCGGCCACGGACATCACCAGGGATCGAACTTGCAATCTCCTGACAATATGGTCAACGCTTAGATGGTTGCGCCACTCGGGAGCCAGTTGTCCAGTTTTAAATAATTTCCTTTTCGCTGGGGGTAAATGTGTTGATTGTCCAGAGCAGGTGCTTAATAGGGAAGTGTTGAATTGGTTGTTGGGTTTATGGTGACCTGTGCTCTCAATAATGTGTATGTTACTATTGTTTTGTCTCGATTAAGTCTGCATTTCAGACTACAGTCTGGATCAAAGGACCAAAATTTGGTCCAATCAAAAGAGGTGGTCTCAATCGAACGAAACCATGGTTCGGTTTGTTTGCAGTGTGAAAACACTTTTTTGGATGTTTTTTTGTGCCAATTACAGGAGGTTAAGACAGCCATCATCACTCATTAAACAATAGAAGTAGAAAAGGAACTGGAGAAGAAGTAAAATAAGCTGTGGTAGCACATGGGGAGTGGACCAAATATTCAACTAAAAAGTCAAAAGTCAACTAAGAAAAAAACGCATAAAAATGCTGAAAGCTGTACCTTATTTTCTGAGAGGATGAGAGAAAGAGGATATGAGATTTTTCTCCATTCAAACAGAAAAGGCTACCCGGCGAATTGACAACACGCCAATGTCAGACGCTCCTCTACAAAACAATTATTGTCAAGTGTAGGGAGACGCAGCCCACGTAGGTGATGACGACAGGACGTAGGTCGCTGAATTGCAGTGTGAAACTGAGTCTAACCGGATCGAATGTAAACAGTAAAACAGAAATGTGAACCTTGGTTCTCACCTTCAGGTGTGAAAACGCCCTAAAAAAAAACACGCTTATAGCGGTGACATGCTGCCGTTGTGGTGCTGAATAGGCCCTTATAACCTGCTAATAAAAACATTCACTGATCACCCAAAAAATGTAGCCATGTTCGAGCCTATCAAACCCCTGCTTTAAAAACCAGCATAGACCAGCATGGCGCATGGCTGGTCACCAACAAAACCAGCGTATGTTGTGTTTTGGATGCTGGTATGCTGGTCAACCAACATGATCATGCTGGGTGACCCGCTAAACCAGCACCAGACCAGCATGGACAAACATGGACTGTGTGCTGGTCTGTGCTGTTTTTTTCAGCAGGGACATTTGTGTAACAAAAGTAGTCAAATGTCAAGTCAAGTCAAATTTATTTGTATGGCGCTTTTTACAACTGATGTCACAAAGCAGCTTCACAGAAATCCATTAAGGACAAAGTTTGAACATGAAATGTAAATCCTCCAGGTGAGCAAGCCAGGGGCGACAGTGGCAAGGAAAAACCCCCTCAGAGCTGAGGAAGAAACCTTGGGAGGAACCAAGGCTCACAAGGGGGGACCCATCCTCCTCTGGTCAAACTACCTACAAAATTATTATACTACTAGTTGCGTGGGCAACTGGTCTGAAGCGGGTAGCAGAAGAGCTCGACAGACAATCATCCATCAGTGTCTGGCCGGACAGTTGGGCAGTCGTTTACTTGGAAAAAGGTAGGGAGATGGAGTTAGTTTAGTTCTGTATGGGTGTATGTATAATAATATGTAAAACATTTCCAGAGTGTGGCTAACGACTCCGGTAAATCTGACTATAACAGCTTAACTAAAAGGAGAGAACCAAAAGGGCACACAGACACGGGAGCACCCTGAAACAATCTGGCATTCCTCCGCTCCACCGTCCACAAACCTGAGTGACCGCGTGCGAGCGGCGGGACGACAGCACCAGCGTCTCAGTTTACTATAATTCCCTGTGTCCATGGACCCCTGGATCTGCTGCCTTTATCTAAGGGGGGACATTAACTACCAAAAGCTAAACTAAACAAGTGAGTTTTCAGCCTAGATTTGAATATTGCGACTGAGTCTGAGTCCCGAACATTTTCTGGAAGATCATTCCAGAGTTTGGGGGCTTTATAAGAAAAGGCTCTTCCCCCAGATGAAACCTTCTGAATTCTGGGAACTATTAAAAAGCCAGCACTCTGTGATCTGAGTAATCGTGGTGGTTCATAATGGGAAATAAGGTCTTGCAGGTACTCAGGAGCCCATGTAGGGCTTTATACGTCACTTAAAGAATTTTTTAATCAATACGGAATTTAACAGGCAGCCAATGGAGTGATGATAGAACTGGACTGATATGATCAAATGTTCTAGTTTTAGTGAGAACCCTGGCTGCAGCATTTTGAACTAGTTGAAGTTTCCTTAAATTCCTGCTGGTGCATCCTGACAGTAGTGTGTTACAATAGTCTAGCCTTGAAGTAATAAAGGCATGTACTAATGTTTCTGCATCATGCAGCGATAAGGCATTTCTTATTTTGGCGATATTGCGAAGATGAAAAGTAGCCAAAGATGAATAGCCATAAACAATTTTTTTTGCAATTGCATCATTTTGGGAGCATCTACAAACCCCACAAACCCACATTTACAATCCTCACTCACACAGTCGGCAACAGTCGTGTTTATTAGACACTGACTATCCGATTTCTTTTACTCTGTAGAACATTTGATAGTCTGCTCTGATGTTTTATATCTTATCTTGAAGCAGGAGCTTTAAAACAATGTCCTGAGGGTGTGTGTATAGACACCAGCCAGGCCTCAAGGTTTAGAAAATATCTTCATATATGAAATTTAATATTTTTCTGTGTACAGTGCAGAGCATTTAGGTCTCCTGGAAACCGTATGGCATATCTTTTCCTGCCCGAGTCTGTCTGGGCTGGAGTTTTATTTGGTCTTAGAGGGAATATTGTCTCGTAATTTTAAAACTAGGAGAGAGGTTGTGTGTGGTGGGGACCGGGGTGGGGTGCCAGCGTGAAAGCAATGTCCTGAGCCATTATCTTCAAAGCACTTTCATCTGAACAGTCTAGCACATCAAACACACACATACACACCTACGTGAGGCCTGTTTCCAGGTGTTATTTCGAAGGAGCTCGCACACACTGTCCAGTCATTCATGCAGGGTACACTGTGTGCATGTATGGCAGGGCCAGTATGACAAATTTGTTGATGACTCATATTTTTTTTAAGTAGGAATTCCACCAATTTTACAACTTTTCTGCATAATTAAATGGTTAAGATGTAAACAAAGTCATTCAGAGTGGTTTGGTGTGAAATGCTCTGTTCTAAAGAAACTTACAGTCAGAATTGTTCACAGTGGTGGTGATAGGAACCAGACGTCCACCTCTAAAAGCTCCTCACAGAAAGGTATTACATGAAATGGTTATGATTACGCAATACTGCGATCATAATTGGATTTCTGAAGTTATCTGATTAGTCAAATGGTCGTGTAAACAGCACACTCTGAATTCTTAGATCAGAGTAAGGTCTGATAAAGAGAGCTGGATTGTAGCTCAGTAATCAGATTTCTCAGTGCATGTAAACTCTTACTCTGATTTCTTTCGGATTTCTCAGGCTGTGCATGTGCGAGAACAGACCGCGGTACCGGAAATAAGCGAGCAGCGTCTCTGCTCAAATATTCTTCATCTTCTAGATGATGTTTGTTCATATTTTCAGGTAAAGTGGCGCAATGTTTAAAAAAAAAGCTGTGGCATGAAGTTTGAATTTTACATTACGTTTACGTCGCGTCTTCCTTTGTGAGTTTATTGGCTGGTTGTAAAGCAGAAGTCCGATTCCTGTCTGACTCATGTAGACCTGGAGTTTCCCCATTATCTGATTACCCCAGTGCATATAAACACGTTGATCTGATTATTGACAAAATCTGATTTTCTGCAGTTATTGGATTATTAAATGAATGTAAACACACTCACTGTTTTATGATCATTTTGTGAAGGTTTTGTCCAAAAATGTATATTTTTGCAATTTTTGCTGGGTGTTGTGAGGCAAAATAGTCCCCAAAAACATATTATTTCAGATTTTCCATTATTTCACAGTCATCAACATTCCATAGAAAAGCTCAGAAGACACGTGTGCGTTCACTGGTGGTTTTCGATAGTGAGTAAAATGGCTATATTTGTGTTGTAGTCATTACAACTTTAATTATAATATATGTTTCTTATAAATATTGTTGATTTATTGTTGGGATTTTCGCTGATACTGATAAAGCTTTAATATTGGGCCATTTCATCTACAGAGCAGTACGTGGATCAGGCTGTGGTGTACAGGGTAATA